AAATTATTAATTAAGATAAATTATTTATTATTTAAAGTATAAAAATATCATATATTAATTTTTTGTTAAAAACATGTTTAAGTGGCAAATAAATTTTTAACATGTAATAATGTTTTATGTAAAATAATAAGTAATTTATTTTAATTAATAATTTAAAGAGATAATTTATTCATACTTTTTTTTAGATAGATTTGTTTTTATCTTTTTATTTAAAGAAGAAATTTAGAGGTTTTGTATCTTTTTTTACTCCTCAACTTAGAATTTTAAATTTGTTTGAGATATCCTTTCGTTCTAAAGCATGAATTTTAAATTATTGCAACAAAAAAAAAATCCCAATTTACTGTTTTTTTTAAACTAGGTTCCATGAGATTGCCATAAGATTAGAAATAATAAAAACAATTTTCATGCGGATAGGCAAGCGATGGAGATGGAGAAAACACGGGTGACAAGGAGAATGAATGGATATTATGTGGATAATATAAGATGAGCAGTGCTAGGGGCACTCGCTTTCTGCACTCTCCGCCCAAAACTTCCCCTTTCATTGGGCCACGTAAGCTTCTTTAAAAAGTTTTCAGCGTAACTCTTGTGGAAACAAAATAACGTGCCCCTAGCATTGCTCATATAAGATTCCAACTTCCTCTTGCAAGTTGGTTCTGGTGTAAATTTTATGTCACATGCTGGTTTGTCCAGTCCTTTGTCCAGTCCTTTCATTAGGTAATTTGGTGGGTCATTTGTCAATTTTCAAACATCAATCCTAATCTAACATTTATGGGCTGTTTCTTCTGATTTTTTTGCAAACTCTTATTAGATGTTGTTTTTAATTAAATAAATTAAATATTTTAAATTATAAATAATAATAATAATTAATTATTATATATTAATATTAATTATTACTTGAATTTAAATAATTAATCCAAATAGCCTCATAGTAATAGTAACACGAGGCAATGGCAATACTTCAATGTAAAGCTGTTCGGATTAGATAAATTTTTGTATATTATTTTTTAAAATATTAATTTAATTTAATTTAATTGTGAGTTATTAATTGATAAATGATAAAATTATTATTATTTAATACATTAAAAAATTTATAAAATAATATTTTAAAATAATATAATTAATTATTATTTATAAAATAATTATATTTACGTAACCCTAGGCTCCTAGCTAACGCCTTTTAGGTGTAGTTTTAAAATCATAGTAAAAAAGTAAAGAAGTGAAAATTCAAGGCAGTTGTTAGAATGACGTACAATCTGACTACATATTTACATCACTCTCAAAGTTAGGGTTAAAGCCAACTGTAGTCCTCGTACTTTTCAAAAATGTTCATTACCATCCCTCTACTAAGTAAATGTTCAATGTCATCCCTCTTCTTGGCATACGGTATAAATGTCGTCCCTCAACTATGGCTTTTTTGTTCAATGTCATCCTCAATTGGATGGCGTCCATATTACCGTTACATTAACCGTTAATTGCTATAACAGCCAAACATTCAAACTATTGTTAACTTGTTTTTTGTAGACTTGTA